ATAGGCATGCACCACCATACCCGGCTAATTATGTATTTTTTGTAGAGACAGGGTCTCCCCGTATTGTCCAGGCTGGTCTTGAACTCCTGGACTCAAGTGATCTGCATGCCTTGGCCTCCCAAAGTGCTGGGATTACAGGCGTGAGCCACCGCGCCCGGCCTTAAAATGTATTTATTTTACCATAATTTATACTGTGTGGATGAATTTCTAATTTTATTTATTTCACTGAAGTTTATCCCATATGAATCAGGGTCTTTTGCAAGTGAATGAAAACCCCTCTCAATTTATTTGTTTACAAAGGAAGGGAATTGAATGGCTTATATAATTGAAAGGTCCAAGAGTGGATTTTCAGATTTAGGCACAGCTGAATCCAAAGAATCAAAACATGTCAGCGGGATTTGCATCTGACTTGTAGTCTAACTTACACTTTTATTTATTTATTTTTTTCAGACCAATAAAGTCTAAGGAATTATTCTGATTCACTCAACTGGGTTATGTTCCTAACCCTGAACCATTCACTGTGGCTGGGTCATGGACCAAACTCACGGGTCAGGTTTATTCACATGCTTATTCTTAGAGGGGGTGATTGAAGGACTGCTAAGGTCAACACCACCCATATCACAGGGACTGAAAATGGACGAGGCGAGATTCTTGAACGGAAAGTTGGGCTGTGGTGACCTCACATGGAAAGGAAGTCAGGCAGACAAAAGCAACAGACTGGCACTGCAGTGGATAGAAGTTTATATGCCTGGTATCTCAGGAGAAAGGAAGCTGAGTTACATGTATAGAAACACCAGTGTATTCACTGAACATGCTTTTTAAAACCAAAGTGTTGTGGTAAATGAGTGGCAAGCCAGCTATGCAACTGACAACTGGGAGAGTAACTGTTGCAATGTGATAATTCATTTTAATCAAAGATAAAAGAGATACTTTGTCATATCAAGACCAGGAATATCAATAATACATCTATCAATGTACAGAAGATGTCACATCTGATCGAAAGCAATTGAAGTGATATTTCATCTCTCAAGAAATAAAAGCCAAGGGCAGGTTATTCCATATTGAAATCACACCCACACTTATTCATTATTTAGATAATAATGACACATTTAGAACTTGTTCAGAGAGTAATTAACAAGTTGACTATTCAGTCACATCCTAATCTATTTTTCATAATGTGAATAAAACTAGTCTGATAGAAAAAAAGATATTCAAACAGAAATCTGCTTGTGACTGGACATAGTGGCTCACGCCTGTAATCCCAGCAATTTGGGAGGCTGAGGCAGGAGGATAGCCTGAGTCCAGGAGTTCAAGACCAGCCTGGGCAATATGGCTAAACACCGTTTCTATAAAAAATACAAAAAAAAAAAAGAAAAGAAAAGAAAAGAAAAAAAAATAGCTGGCTGTAGTGGCGCACAGCTGTGGTGGCAGCTACATGGGAGGTTGAGGTGGGAGAATCACTTGAGCTCAGGAGGCAGAGGTTCCAGGGAGCCGAGATGGCACCACTGCACTCCACGGGTGATAGAGCAAGATACCCTGTCTCAATAAAAAAAAAAGGCTCCTGGTTTCTCAGTTATGTTATAGTATTAATATGTAATAAGTTGCTGTATGAGTTATGGAAATTATTGATTTATACAGATTATAAGATGTGTGTCTATATATACATACATATCGATTATTGATTCATCTTGTGGTATATATTTTCCATAATTAATAAACATAAATACCATATATGAACACAATTATAAATCTTTTGTATATGTAACAACACACTGAACATTTGCTAAAAATATTTAAAATTTTATAAGAAATCATTGAAGAGATCTAGGAGCAGTTTGAGCAAAATTAGGATTATTTGGCTGCTGTGAAGAAGAAAAAATATTCAAAGCCCCTTTTCCTTTGCTTTTTCCTTTACTTTTTTAAAAGCAAAAATATTGACTGCATATATAGAAAGTAAATGTATATATTATGTACATAAATTTAAATATAATAGATATCTTTTAAAGGAAGTCTAATCAAAGACTGGGAGAACAATACAATTTGGCATATGTTAATTTCCTGCCAAGTTTCGGAATTATGTTTCTGACTTTTAATAGGCATGACAAAACTGGAGTTGGTAGGATTACATTCTCACAGAAATTTGAAAATCAACAGAATTTCAGTAAATATTGCAATATATAGCAAAATATAGATATATAAAGAGATTATAAATACAATTTTACAAGTGTCTACTTCCAAAACAAGCCACAAAGCAAAGCTATTAAAAACCTGCACCAGTAGATAATTTATTTATTGAACCTCTTTCTTCAAGAAGCTTTCTATGATATTTTGATCTGTTGTGGCAGATATTTTTTTTTCTCTTTCTTCATCATGCTCACTGCACGGCTCACTATTCAAAGTATGTTAGTATAGTATCTACCATGCCCTGAGCATGTTACATTGCTTTTTTTTTTTAGACAGAGTCTCACTCTGTTGCCCAGGCTGGAGTGCAGTGGCGCAATCTCGGCTCACTGCAACCCCCACCTCCCAGGTTCAAGCGACTCTCCTGCCTCAGCCTCCCAAGTAGCTGGAACTACAGGCGTGCACCACCACAGCCAACTAATATATATATATATTTTTAAGTAGAAACGGGATTTCAGCATATTGGCCAGGCTGGTCTCGAACTCCTGACCTCGTGATCCGCCTGCATTGGCCTCCCAAAGTGCTGGGATTACATGCATGAGCCACCGTGCCAAGCCATTACATGCATTTTCTAAGCTCAGAGAGTGTAGAAACTTTTCTCACAGAAGTGAGAATAATTTAGATTTTCCCAATTCCACATTTCTTCTACAGTTTCTCAATCTGCTCCAATGATATGCCCTTCACATACCCAGGTGTTATGGTGTTTCACCCTGTTCCTGAAGATGCTCCGTTCACTCCCTCATATGCATGGGGGCTCCAGAGACATCTTTACATACCGATCCCTAGTCCCCTACATAGTTCCAAGCGCTACAACATAAATCATGCTTCTGAATCCTGAGTGACCTTGGGTCTTTTAGTCTTACAGGAATCAGAAGATCCATGTTAGTATTCCAGCTCTCTCATACTTGCTATGTGATCTCGGACAGGTGGTTTAAACTATCAGTGCCTCAATCCTCATTCTTTATCCCTCTCATTTGCCCAAGAGATCCTCTGACCCCTGCTTCCAGCTTCATGGAACTTCTAGTGATGCCACTGAATTTGCACATATTTTAAATTAATCTTGTATTATTTTAGTTTTAATTTTTGGTGTTAAGTATAATTTTGCTATGCAATATTCGGGGGACCATATAGAATTTTTTTTTCATCTTGAATGTGGATTTTAGCTCTCTACTTTTATCCTACTCATTTTTCTAAGGGGAAGAGGGGACTAGATGACTACTTATCCTAGGGCTGTGCAAACATTCAAGCTCATGGAAAATGGAAGAAGATCCTAGTCCTTGGTCCATTGTCCGTTGTGTTGTTTGCCGTTACTATTGTTCCTCTTATCAAGGGACACTGCTGTGAAGAGCTGCTTCTCTACCATTATTCAGGGACTGCTGCTCCAGAATGACTCAGATATTTTTACAATATTTCTCTGTACTGACCACAGGCTCTGTCACACAGTGATCTGTATTTTCTAGGTCTCAGGACTTAGAGGCCAGATTCCAAAGAGGTCCAAAAGCTTCATCTTCCCTAGTCTCTGGCACTGGGAGAAAAGTCTGAGAATGTGCACCAGATAAGAATACTAGATAGTCCTCTTGTCCCTTCACTAGTCTTCCAGAAGCTACCCTTTCTTCCCAAAATGACCCGTTTTCCAAAATGACTGCAAGCACAGCCTCTAGCCCCTCCTCCCATTGGGACTACCCAGCCTAATTAATGAAAGTTACTTTGATTCCCAAGCAAAAGCCCAAGTCCTCTTGCTACCAGACAACCTCTGTTCCTGACTCTGAAACTCAAAGCTTTTTACAAGCCCTATAAGGGCTTATTTTAACAAGCCCTTAAAATAAAGAAAATGAATACAATGCTGGACATTCCTATTTCTAAGGGTCTGGGTAACTGCAATGCAATTACATTTGCATTTCTTCTGAGAGTCTCACATAGAAGAATAAGACAGAAATTATTATCACAATAAATTATCCTGCAATATTGCTCTTCATGTATATTTTAAAAGGGTATCAGCTTAAAAATCTGGAGAAGAGATAGAAAATGCTTGACTTTTGTAGCTACTGCTTTCTTCCTCATTCATGGCAGATATAGCTAATTGATCACTCTATCAAATGGCCCATACCTGTTCATGCTAAACTTAGTGTGTGAGACAGCCAGTAATAATGAATTAGAATCAGAAATTGAGATTAAGCCATGCTTACTATCTGTTCCCTAACACATTGTATAATGTGGAACATTCTGAAATGTACTACTATTGCCAATGAGATGAGATGAAGTGAAAAGATGAGGGGTAGGAAAGAAGGAGAAAAGAGGAAGGTTGATTGACTGAAGTTCTATGTTTCAGAGAGAACATGTGCAGCAGGTCCTCCATGTGAGCGCACCTGGAATCTAACTCTGTTTTTCAGCCTTTGTACTGAGGACCTTTCTATTGTCATCTATCTGGAACAATCAGGCTTTGAGAAACAAATGTATCCTAAAGAAACGGATGTATTAATCTTGCAAATTACTTGGTGAAAAATGAAATCTCTAGATAGAAAGTTTCTGGAAAATACATATTTAGTGGTCTAAATATTCTTCTACCAGTGACAAAAAATTCCCATGAGACCAAATTAATATCTGAAAGTTAATAAAGCAATTCAATGATAAAAAAGAGTTAGATGTTCCTAAAGCATAATGCCTTCAAGATAAGATAGCGTCATGGGCCCATCTATAAAACAGGTATCTATGCAGTAAGCAGACTAGCAAACTAACATTGTGGATGGCCTTGGGTATTAATTAGAGTTTTCCAGAGAAACAGAACCAATAAGAGATATTTATATATTTGTTTATTATAGTTGCTTGGCTTACATGGTACTATGAAGACTGACACCTTTCAAGATCTGCAGGATGAGTCAGCAAGCTGATAACCCAGGAGACCTTATCATGTCATTTCAGTCTGCAGACCGGCAGGCTCAAGACCCAGGAAGATGTGATGTTCCAGTTTGTGTGAAAAGGCAGGAAAAAATGGATTCCTAGTTCAAAAGCTGACAGGTAGGAGGAATACCCTCCCCTTGAGGGTTTTTTTCTATTCAGGCCTTCAACTGATGGAATGAGCCCACTCATATGGTGGAGGGAAATCTGCTTTATTTAGTCAACTGATTTAAATGTTAATATTATCCAAAAAATTCCCTCATGGACATACCACAGTGTCTGACCAAATATCTGGGCACCTTGTGGCCCAGTTCATTTGACACATGAAATTAACTGTCAAACCTGGGAACTCTTTCTTTTGAAAGGATGAATTGGAGGCAAATGGATTTTACCCTTTGGACTTAGTTTTTTAAAAGAAGTCATGAGAGTGACCATTTATTTTGTATTAGCTATATTTATCATTGTGTTTTCCTGAAAGGATTTTAGTATATTATCCAGATTTACCAGCATAACAATTACAAATGTTATTTCAGGGTGTTACTTTCCCAGACCACTAATACTCATTTAGAAAAGGCATAATCGATTGCATTTCGGAGATGACATTATCTAAACTTTTTTTATAATTCCAACAGGAAAACCTATTCAATCATAAAATCACCATTGCATTAATCATATGTGTCAGAAATTTATTTACTGTAAGATCTCCTGTACATCTAATTTATGTTATTTAATGCACATGTGTATCACAGAAGTCTATGCAGACATACCTGTATACATTTAATTCATGCAATAAATTTTAAAATAAATTTTCAAATAAAAGTTTTTTGTAGAATTTCTATATACCTGTATTATTCTTTACCCCGATTTGTTTGAATAACATTTGAAAACTACCTTCAGATGCTCGGTAAGCATTCTTGAGATTTTTGGATTTTTTTTTTCCTTTATTTTCTGATGTGGAATATAAACTGAGAGAAAACAGAACCAAATTTGATTGGCCATGATGCAAATTTTACCTATTTATATTTCATAGCTATCAAACTTACTTTAAAAACTATTAATGATCTTAGCCACAATCTAAATTATATTTTTATTAGAAAAATGTGTAAACTCTGAAATCAAAACTAATTATACCAAGAGAGTTAAATCTAGTTTAGTAGGCATATGAATTTGTAAGATAACAAAATCACAAGATAATCCTCACTTTTTCCAGTTCATTTCTGGAAAATGCATCATAAACACATTGCATTTTCCCACAGGAACTAATATAGGTGATTGCATTCTTGTTCAGTTACTCACCATCAAATAAGCTATGGTTGTCACAGCAACATATTACAAAAACACAGATAAAATGATAAATCTTCATTATAAACTTAATAATAAAATTAGAAAAATGTTTTCTCTGTATTTGTTGAGAGCCTAGTTAGTGTATTCTAATGTTCATGTATTTATTCAAATGTATTTATTCAAATGTATTTATTCAAATGTATTTATCTAATAGCTGTTCTGTTTTTTGAACTACGGGCAATATAATGCAAAGGCATGTTTGCTGTCATTCAGAAATGGAAAGAACTTAAAAACTGTAATGAAAATGGAATATGTTAGACATAGCTAAAATCAAGATGCTACCTACGATAATTTAGACAAGTTTGGGGACCGATAGGAATGAGCCAGACAGCTTAAAAACTGTCCAGAGAAATTTTACTGATGATTTGTGTTTGTTCAGCTTCTCTGTAGCAAGCCGAAATATTTTAAATTATGCTGTTAACCTTACTGCATGCTCAAATTTATTTTTGTCCTTTGAAAATTTAGACATTGCAGCATTTAAATATTTAAAGGCATCATTAAATACTTCAGTCATGATAGATTGAAGAGAATTTCCTTCTTACTCATCTTTTCTTTGTTCTATCTTTAGTCTTCTTCCTCGCTAAAACCACTTTAAACTTAATGGGCTGCTTTGAAAGGGAAAAATTGAAGGAAGATTTGTTCAAAGAAACAGGCAGGCTCCTTAAGTCAAATACAAACTATTGGAAAACACAGGTCTTTCTTTTGCATTAGCTAGGAGGTCTAACTCCTTCTTTTCCTCCCTTTCAAGCCTACAGAAGGTTCATTAGACCAACTGCCTATGGGAACTATAGACTAAGCACGTGTAAGTCAGGAGACATGAAGTTTAGGTGTCAATTAGGCAGACTTGAATGAGCAAAGATACAAAATGTACCGGGCAAACAAGAAAATTGTGCCTTGTGCTAGTTCCTGATGACAAAACTATAGTTTAAATTTTCCATTATGGACTTCAACTATTGTGTGCTTTTAACAAGAGAAATTTTTCTTTTTCTATTTTTTTTGAGACAAAGTCTTGCTTTGTCACCCAGGCTGGAGTGCAGTGGCACGATCTCGGCTCACTGCAACCTCCGCCTCCTGGGTTCAAGCAGTTCTCTGCCTCTGTCTCCCAGGTAGCTAGGAGGACAGGCACCTGCCACCATGCCCAGCTAATTTTTGTATTTTTAATAGCGACAGGGTTTCACTATCTTGGCCAAGCTGATCTTGAACTCATGACTTCGTGATCCACCTGCCTCAGCCTCCAAAAGTGCTAGGATTATAGGCGTAAGCCACCAGACCAGACCTCTTTTTCTCCTTTTAACAGGCTTTTCTATTATAATATACTGTACTTTATAATTACTGAGTTTGTACTACTGTCTGCTCATGTGTTGATTTTAGATAAACATAGACACACAACAATTGTATTTTTTAAGATAAATGACTAATAATTCCATTTAGTTTTTGGATATTTGAGAAACATCTAGTTTTTCTGATACAATCTGAGAACATGAATAAACTGCATGCCATATCTTATAATATATCGATAATATTAAGGTGTCCTCATTAAGATAAATTTTTCTCTGTCTGGTATTATTAAATAATGTGACAGTGATTTCAATCCTGGCCTTGCCACTTGCCAGATGTGTGCCCTTAGGCCAATTACTAAACCTCAATTCGTCTCAGTTTCTTCAATTGGAAATGAGGATATAATAATAATTTCTCATAAATTTGTTACAAGAATCAAATCAGTTAACTTTATAAAACATTTAAATAGTGCCAGACACATAGTGTGATTTGTGTTTGTTAAAAAATAAAATACTTTTTCTTGTTCTTTTTTCTAAATTTTTAACTTTTTTTCACATTTCTGCTGGCAAGAATCTTGTTCTAAATGTATATGCAAATCTCCATCTCCAGACTTCTATCCAACAAATAGACTAATTTGCCTTCTTTTCCTTGCCTTTATTTCTCTTCTTCTACCCTCTACTCTCATAGTAGGCTTCAGAAGGAGGACAAAATGAGAAATTACCTGGAAAAATTGGCCTGTGCATGCCACCTTTTCAAACCTGACATTATAGATTATATCAGTTAGCATAGATTTGGAATCAAGTAACAAAATTTATTTCAATCCCATTGGTTTAAATTGGCTGACAAAGTATAGTAGAATGGCAGGATGGATTTCAGGGCTGGGTTCACTCAGTGAGCACAGCTCCTTTTCTTCAGCATTGTTGCTTTAAGTGTGATGTCCTTTTCCTTAGACTGAGTTGCCTCATGCTGGCAAAATGCCATTAGAAGTTCTAGGTTCTATATAATGGAATATGTAGAAGATGAGAGGGAGTCCATTTTGCTTTTAAATATGAAAAAGTTTCTTACCAGAAACACCCAGAAAGCCCTCCTTTATGACTCACTGGCTCAGATTAAGTTACAAGCTAATTCTGAAAAATTGAGGCTAGGAGAGTATTAAGAGCTAACTGGATTAGCTGAACCAATCTCTCTAGCATGATGGATGGGATTACCCTCAGATAAATGAGGCCCACTCCGGTGCTAGAGTCTGTCAATTTACTTTTAAAAACATTGGTAATGGTGGAAGGCATAGATGCCTGAACCATAGTGGAATTGTGTCAGAAGAGAAGAAGGGGGAATGGATACAGTGTAGCAACTACTGATGACTACATAGGCTATGTTATCTGTAGGAGGAGATTTAGAAATTCATCAGTGTCAGTAATAGCTATCTCTGAATGAGGAACAAGTTGCAGCTAAGCGGACCTTTAAATTCCATAAAGTGGTCTTTTAGATTATGTACATCATTTTTGGGGTTTGTTTGGTTATAAAAACCAGGCATAATCAAATCGGCATAATCAATCTTGTCTGTCCGTGGTGCTAACACTGGCACCAGGGCTACACAATTTGAACTGTAGTTTCTGGGCTTATTTAAAAAAAAAAATTAATCATAGTATCTTTTTCTATTTTGAAGTAGTGTTAAACTTGCAGATTTGCAATAATTGTACAAAGGCCTTTTTTGTTTTTTTTCTTGGATCAATTTGAAAGTAAATTACTGATATGATGCCCCATTATAGCCTGATATTTAATGTATCAAAAGCAAGAAAATGCTCCCACCAAAACACCATGTAATCATTAAAATCAGGAAATTTTATTATTTTTTCCAGATAGGGTTTCATGGTGTCCCCTAGGCTGAAGTATAGTGGTACCATCATAGTTCACTGCAGCCTCCAACCCCTGAGCTCAAATGATCTTTCTGCCTTGGTCTCACAGAATGCTGGGCTCACAGGCATGAGACACCACACCTGGCCAAAATCAGGAAACTAATTCTCTACATTAGTTCCATTTAGTTGCAGACTCCACTCATGTTTTGCCAATTATCCCAATGTTTCATAGCAAGAAGGTCCAGTTGAGGATCACATGTTGAGTTTGTTATTCCTTTTTATCTCCCTTAATCTTGAATCTCAGTCTTCTTTGACTTTCATGATCTTTACAGACAAATTACGAGGCAGAATACCCTTCACTTGGGGTTTGTGTGGTTTCCTCATTATTATATTCAGATTATGTATATGTGACAGGAATATCACAGAAACATAGAAGTGATGGTGCATTCCTTTTGTTGTATCCTATCAGGTGGTCTACAACTTTAATTTGTTCCATTATTGGTGATGTTCACTTTGAATCCTTAATTGAAGTGCTGTCTGTTAAGCTTTTCCACTGTAAAATTACTCAATTTTCTTTACAATTAATAAGTATGTGGGGAGAGTTTCTATACAGAGGTAAATTGGACTTCAGGGCTACTCAATGCATTTTTAAAAATTTTGCAATTTCCTTAGTTCTGTTAATATGTAAAGATGTAAATTATTCAATCTTTATTAAATTTTCACCTACTAGTTTTGACATTCATTGATATATTTTGACTGAATCAGTTATGATGATGACAGTAGTTACTATATATTTGATTTTTCTAATTTAGGCATTCATTCTATATTTATTAGATGCCATTCTAGTGTGAAAGTTCTCTTCTTCCTGTTTGTTTATATTAATATGGGCTCATGAATTCCTAGTTTATAAAATGGGCTATAATTTTTTCTTATTATTTATTTTGATACCCACATTGTTCTTGATTTGGTCAGTAAGGATTCTTTCAGACTAGCTGCTATGTGACTCTGACCTGTCCTTTTCATTCACTGAGCACTGGGTTACTTTATGGCGCAAAAAGATGTCCCAGACTAATCTTGTACTTCCCCAATTCCAGACCAGAATCAGACAATACCCCAACGGGTTCTGCTTCTTTCTGGTGGAAACCAGTATTTAGATTTGGGTGCTAGATATACTTATTGTTGTTGGGGTGTCAGTGTTGCCCAGTAGTCTCAGTAGTCAGAAGGAGGGAAAATACTTAAGTTCAAACCGATACCATCAATCCCAATCCCAATCCAACACCAAAGGCTATCAGAATAGATCAGAGTAGATTACAGCGAAGAGAAGTTGGAAGAAGACCTGGAGTTTCTTCTTCAATCTTGCTGCTTTGATAGAGGACAGAATTCTGTTTTACAATTCAGCATACCCATATCTATTTTTAACTTTGCTAGAGAGGTAATTCTCTTAATAATGTAAAGGATCCTGGGTAACAAAAAATGCTTTCATGAAATGTGCGACTACATTAGTTTCCTATGGCTGCTATAAAAATTACCAGAAATCTGGTGGTTTAAAATAAGACAAATCTTTCAGTTCTGGAGGTAAATTGGACTTCTGAGAAATCTGAAATCAGTTTCAGTGGGCTGAAGTCAAGGGCTGATTCCTTCTGGTGGCTGTAGGGGAGAATCTGTTTTTCAGCTATAGCACCCACCTGTATTTCTTGGTTTGTGGCCCCGTTCTCCATCTTCAAAGCTCACTGCTCTAATCTCTGCTTCCCTCACCCACTTTCCGTAACTGGTCTTCTCACTTTCTGACTCTAACTCCTCCTGCTTTCCTCTGTAAGAAGGAACACCCTTGTGTTTACATTGGGCCTAACTGGGTGATCCAAAACAATTGCCTCAAAATCCTTCATTTAATCACATTGCAAAGTCCCTTTACCATGTAAGGTAATATATTTATAAATTCTGGAGATGAGGATATAAACACTTAGAAGCCATCATTCAGCTACCACACCAAGACTCAGCTAATTTGTTTCAAGTTTTTATTTTTGTAGAATCAATTTTACTTTTGAGTTGCATTAATCAGAACTGTCATTTCCAAGTTTTAGAACAAAAACGATTCAATTTGGCTTTGGCAAGGAAAAGGGTCTTTATTAGCTCCCATAAATTAAAGTTGTAGAGCTCTAATCGATATGCTCTATTGAGTCCAAGGGGTCAAATATGTTGATAGGAAACTTTCTCTTCATCTTTTAACTCTGTTTTCTTTTGGGTTTATTCTGGGCTTGGCTTTCCTCTCCTATTGGCGAGATGGCCACCAGTAGCTCCAGCATTCTTCTATCTTGGAACCCCAGGACATAGAAAGATTCTGTTTCTCCCTATGATGTCAATAAAACCCAGTTAATGTAGCTGGGCATGGTGGATCATGCCTATAATCCCAGTGACTTGGGAGGTTGAGGTGAGAGGATGGTTTGAGGCCAGGAGTTTAAGACACACCTGGGAAACATAGGGAGATGTCATCTCTACAAAAATATTAAAAAATCATCAGGGCACGGTGGCACATGGCACATGCCTGTAGTCTCAGATGTTTGGGAGACTGAGGCAGGAGGATCCCTTGAACCCAGGAGGTGGAAGCTACAGTGAGCTATGATTGCACTACTGTATTCCAGCAGCGAGACCCTGTCTTAAAAAAAAAAAAATCTAGTTAATGATTTTCGTTGATCCAAATTTAGTGGGATTCTCTAAATCAAAACGTTTGCTGCTTCTACTGAAATTGCAACCACTTGATGTATTATTCATTAATTTACTACCTAAAGGTTTTCCTCAACTTCCCCTCTTTTCCTCTATCTCCCTCTTTTCTTTTTTAAACACTTCTCATTTAAAAAATAATTAGAATATTATATCTATATGATTCTTAATTTAAATATCTTATTTAATATTTAAAAATTTGGAGAGAAAATAATTTAGCAAGAAAATATGATCTGAAGGTTTACTGTGGTTGAGAGATTATTTTTGTCATAATAATTTTTATAATAATGTATTTAAGCAAATAGTTTGAGAAGTTCATCCCTGATTATGTGCTAGAGAATCCTGATGTGAGACTAAAATGCATGGTTATTAAAGACATGTAGACATAGAAAATATGAAAAATACATTTATGTTAAATATATAAATCTTATAAAAGCTTCACATACTGTTAGCAGTCTCTGTGGTCTTGATTTTCTTGGTATTTATGTTACTGCTTTCTTTTGTTTCTATAACTGAAATATTTATGAAGTATAAATAGATTTGGGCCACCTGCTGATATTTGGATAGATAAGGTATGGTATCTTTACTGTTAAGCCTTTTTCAGAATTTGTTAATATCAAGCATCCTGTTTATTTTCAGGAATGAGCATATGTCAAGTTCAAACAGAACCAAGCTTACTTGAATACTTAAACATTTAAAATATTCAACTTTTTATAAAGCAGTCTTTATTAACCTCTTCTAATATTTTTATTTTTTAAATTTAATTTCAAAACTTACACTTTTAGTTCGAACCAGACTGTATAAGTATTTTAATGCCTTTTAAATTAGAACTTAAGTGCCTTTGCAGAGAGAAAAAGAGAAATAGACGCGTAGAAGGAGCTCAGTCAATACCTTTAAACTGATTGGTATTCACATTATAAAATTCAAGTCTGTTAACAATGCCTTTTTAATTGAAGAACTGTAATAAGTACTTGCCTTTTTACATTGTGAATATCCAATTGCTATTTGACAGACTATGCATGTCAAATACTTGTATGCATTGTATAGATGCTATTATATTTTTCATAATAAAACTGCTTTTTTGGTTTAGTGTACAAGTATTATATTGAAGGAGTAGGACACAGAGAGATAGTACAATCATGAAGCAACTTAATTTTCCCTCATTATTCTTTAAAATTTTTTCTGCTGGAACAATTCTCCTCTTGCCCCATGGGTAAAATTAAGACCAATCTTGACTTTTCAAGTTACTTCTAGGTCTCCTAGACGATCTCGGGTCACTAGCTAAAATATCATTTTCATAAAATAGAAACTTAAAGTTCATTAATGTTAAAGATTTCCCCCTTTGTTAGGATGGGCCATCAACTATGGAAAAGGGCCTGTTAGCCTCTTCCTTAATTCCCCAGAGAGTTCTTCTGCTTCTTCTCCACTTTTTAGGGGCCTCTCACTCCTCTAGAGTTGAAAGAGGTGTGGCAGGGCAGATATATTTATTGACACTACTCATTTGGCACTGATTTGTGTTAGTTTCCTCTGGCCATGATAGATGTGTAAGGTCAACTTTTACTGGCTAACCTGCTGATATGGTTTGGCTCTGTGTCCCCACCCAAATCTGGAATTGTAATCTCCAGGTGTCGAAGGAGGAACTGGTGAGAGGTGACAGGATCACGAGGGCAGTTTCCTCCATGCTGTTCTCGTGATAGTGAGTGAGTGGACATGAGATCTGATTATTCGAAAGTGTTTGGCAGTTCCCCGCTTTGCTCTCTCTCTCTCTCTCTCGCAGACTTGTGAAGAAAATCCCTGATTCCTCCACTTCGACCATGATTGTAAGCTTCCTGAGATCTCTGCAGCCAGGCAGAACTGTGAGTCAATTAAGCCTCTTTTTTTTTTTTTTAATAAACCACCCAGTCTCAGGTATTCTTTATAGCAGTGTGAAAATGGACTAATACACACGCCATTGTTGGAGATCTTGCACTTGCATTTTCTTGATGTCAGTGAATACATTTTCTGGATGTTTATAGCTCCTCCTCCACCTCTTAGGAATCTAGAAAGTTTACTCCCTGCTGGGTCATCTCATGCATTCAGGCAATCTTCTTGGTCAGGACAACACCCAGGCCAATTTTCTCAAGCCACGACCACATCAAGTCCAGTGGAACAATCTCTCTTGATTCTGCCTTCAGAGAGATTGGCCAGGCAGATTTATCATGTGTGAGTTTTATGTTAGGGAGCTGTGATCCCCAAACTCCAGAGGACTTATGTCCAGCTTTCTGACTAGGCATCAACATGTCTTTCCATAGGCTTCTGGGTGGTGCTACTATGCGCTTATTGGTCTGTAACAATCTTCCTCTTCCTAATCTCTTCTAATTGTCACCTTTCCCTTTCTTCCTGCTTTAATATCTCAGCTAAGGGTCTGTGTGGCCCCACAATGAGCCCGGGGTGGGGGATCAACACAGTTTCAGGCACCTCATTTGCAAGTCCTGCTTTGGTAGTCTCAAATCTCTCCTTGGAATTTGAGACTGACTGCTACCTCTTGTCCAAGGGCCTAAACCAAATCTAAGATATAGAGTTTTATTTTAGATCCTGTCACAAGCGAAGAACCACTAATTAGTTCAGGAAATGATCATTTCCTATTCAAGGGCCATTTATTTGATAGCTATGAAGTGGGAAAATCTAAGTTATGATAGTTTTCTTTTTCTGGTAATTTTACCACTGACTATTACATTTTTGTCACACCAGTTTCTTCATAATATTCCTACTTGTCTCATAATGAGGTTGTGATAATAATAGTATAAAGTGCCTGGAACTTGTGTGTGGAGAATTTAGTAATTATCTAATGTATATCACATTATTTTTCTGCTAGGCAGCTATTATTTAAGTGCCAATAGAGAAATTGAGACAAAAGTCAACACTTTTTGAATAAAAGTGTATTGAACTTTGAATACAACTTACCTTCCAAAGTAACTATAAAAGTTCTATAGGAGAGGGAAAGAACAGTTTCACCCTCCTTGAATAAGTATTTTCTCTATCAATGACTCTGTTGAAGTTTTAAGGCAGGTGCAAAATAAATCATTGATCCTGTCACCTCTCACCAATTCCTCCTTCTACACCTGGGGATTACAATTCCAGATTTGAGTGGGGACACAGAGCCAAATCATATCAGCATGTTAGCCAGTAAAAGTTGACCTTACACATCTATCATGGCCAGAGGAAACTAACACAAATCAGTGCCAAATGAGTAGCATCAATAAATACATCTGCCCTGCCACATCTCTTTCAACTCCAGAGGAGTGAGAGGCCCCTAAAAAGTGGGGAAGAAGAAGCAGAAGAACTCTCTGGGGAATTAAGGAAGAGGCTAACAGGCCCTTTTCCATACCTTTTTCATTCTACTCAACAATTAGCCACTATAGGTATTGTAGTTCTATTTATCAACAGTTTGTAAATAACAACAGCTGATTTATAAACATGATGAAAGTCATATAAAATGCACACTTGTTACCAATATTTTGTTAATAGGCTACGAAGAAGTTGGAAAGAAATACTGTCATTTTAACAGTTATGTAAATGGAAAGGTGAGTTACAAATATTATAGGCATACAAGTGTTCATATATACTTGACTCCAAGATCAAGATTAAAAAAATATGTAATAGGTAGTTTAGTGTGCTATGTGATTTGTACACTATTTCTAGAATTTGATATTTTGTATCAAACAATTACATGTGCATACCTTTTAAGCCAGCCATTGTACCTATAGAAATTTATTAAAAATAATCAGATAAGTGCAATGTGTGTGTTTGTATTATGGCACAATTTTTGAGTATAAAAAATCAGAAAATCCTAGATGACTACAGGCAGAGATTAGTTGAATAAATCAGGATATGTCTATATAAGGCAACACTACTAAAAACACGTAATGTTGTCCTGAAAGTATTCTACTAATACAATTACTAAGTTTCCCCAATCATATGTGCTAAATGGGAAATGTAATCTACCGGAGGAGTGATATTGATAATTATGTATTCTATTACTTGAAAAAAGACTATAAATATCTTTAGATTACTACCTGAAAATTCTGGAAGATACACAGAAAACATGTTCAGATGTGGTTGGCTTCTGAGTGAGTGAATATTCCTTTAACTCCATAAATACTCAACCAGTCTAGTGCAGTAAGAACCATTTGGCTCTTAGGTTAATAAACGGAAGTGTAACAGGAAGTGAGACAATGATTTCATTATTGGACTCGCCTTGCTTTTTCTGAAGTGAAACTTTGGTGCGGGATGGTCGCCACCTGACATTCTGGTAGCCACTTGCGTTATTCCTGCTAGATTGTGGGTGTTCATTATTTATCATAGGGTCTTATTATTTGTCTTCAGGAAACATTGCCGCATGATAAGTCGGAAATCAATGGGCTTCACGTGTTGTTCGGGTTTGGTCCCTCTAACTGGAAACCTGTAGCCCACTGGGGTTTACACCGGTAGTGGAACAACACGGGTTGTGTCCACCGTGCGTGCAATGAAACAGGTGATTTTTTCAAGAGTGTGTGCATACATTAGCACCCTTTTTTCTCTTCCTTTTTTTTTTTTTTTTTTTTGAGAGGGGGTGCGTGGTGGATGGGCGGGCTGTAGTCGGGCGGTGTCGGGGGTTTTATTTTTTGAGGAATGTAGTTTTCGCCTGCTCTCGGTCGCCCACGGCTGGGAGTGTCAGAGGCGCGACTCGTCCGGGCTCACTGCAGGGCTTCCAGCTCCCGGTCTCAACGCGGCGGTTCTCGCCCTGCCTCAGCGCCTCGTCGAGTAGGCTGGATACGAGGCGCCCGGCCGCCACGCTCCGGCTCTCTTCCTCTCGCATTTTTTAGTTAGGAGACAGCGGGTTTCACCGTGTTAGCGCGGTATAGTCTCGATTTCCTGACCTCGTGATCCGCCCGCCTCGGCCTCCCAAAGTGCTGGGATTACAGGCGTGAGCCACCGCACCCGGCCACCTTTTCTCTTGTACAGTTTTTTTACCAACGCCTATTACTAAAGTTACAATAATATTTTGATACATAATGAGATGGAATTAAATATGTTTAAGGAAGTACTGTTGATCTAAGTAATAAGAGAGTTTGGAATTGGCAGCAAGAATGGACCAAATATAGAATGATGTTCAGAACTGAAAAGGAGGTGAAAGGGGATATATATATATGAAATTGGGGGCTAGGAGAATTGAGATTTGGAAAGACAAGCACAGCATGGAAATAGAGTAAAAAGTTGAAAAGAATGTGAGCCTTGAGACAAATAGGCCTTGTTCTGGCATTCTTTTCTGCCACTTACCTGGGTAATCTTATTAACTGCCCTTGATCTTAGTCTCCGCAGCCATAAAATGGAGATATTTCTATCAGTGTTGTAAAAAGTAAATTACATAAATACAAACTTAAAGTTCTTGTAACAAAGTGGACAGTCAAACACTAGGGTGGTGGCCAGTCTCTGAGATGACACTCAATGACCCCACCTCCTAGTATTTACACCCCTGTGTGTAGTTCCTTCCCATGTAGTATCTGAGCTGGTCTGTGACAATAAAATACAGCAGAAGTGTCACTTTTGAGGTTAGGTGATAGAAAGATTGCAATTTCCGTTTGGGGTTTTTTCTTACTCATATCACTTGCTTTTGGGGAAGTTATGTTGTATGAGGAACATGGCATGGCTCATGTGGTAAGGAGCTAAAGTTTCCTGCTAATAACCCTGTGCTTGAGCTTGGAGGCAGATCCTTCAGACTTAATCAAGCCTCAGATAACTGCAGCCCCAGCTGACACTTTGATTGCAGCCTTGTGAGACATCTTAAGCCAGAACTACTGAGCTAAGCTGCTCCTAAATTCTTGGCCCACCCAAAGTGTGGGATAATAAATACTTCTCCTTTAAGTGCCTAAGCTTGGATTAATCTGTTATGCAGCAATCAATAACTAATACATGTAGCTATCATTTTGAAGATTTGGAGGTGATGGTTTAAATCTACAGTAAGTGTGGGCTAGTAGTAGGTGGTAAGAATTTTAAGCGGATCTAGCGGTGGGAAGGAAAGTTAAGGACTAGTATCCTAGGCCAGTTTATTGATTGATTGGTTGATTGATTGAGACAGAGTTGAGCTCTGTCCCTGAGGCTGGAGTCCTGTGGCCCGATCTCAGTTCACTGCAACCTCTGCCTCCAGGGTTCATGAGATGCTCGTGCCTCAGCCACCCAAGTAGCTGGGATTACAGACATGAGCCACCACGCATGGCTAATTTTTGTTAGAGATGGGATTTCACCAAGTTAGCCAGGCTGGTCTGGAGCTCCTGGCTCAAGTGATCTACCCTTCTGGCCTCCCAAAGTGCTGGGATTACATGTGTGAGCCACTGTGTGCAGCCGAAAGGTCAATTTATACTTTATTTATTGGAGGACTCTGAGCCAGGGCTTCTCAACTGGTAAGCTAGGAATTTGGCGTAGATGTTTTTAGATATTGATTCCTCTCCACTCTTTGGGAGGTTTGGTGAGGTCTGGGAGGCTGAATTCTTGGAGTTAGTCACCTCTGGACTTGCAAAGGCTCCCCTTTTTATGCCCATGTGCCATAAAATATGATTTTCTATGTGTGCTATCGTGTGAGAACACTTGGACGGTACTGGCATTTACAAGGCCAGCATCTTTGCTTTGGGTACAGGGGTATGAGACAAATAACTTCATATAAACTGTGAACTGTGAAGGTTAGACTAAGGAAGAATTTCAAAATCTAGTGTTCTGTGTTCCCTTAAGGGCTATAAAGGGGGATTCAAATATTCAATCTTTGTGCCTCTGTTTCCTCAATTATACTAGCAATCATACCAATTTCACAGGCTTGCTATGGTTGTTACATGAGCTATCCAATAT